TTCTGCTGTGCTGATTATGTCGCACAGCAGACGATAAAGACGGTGATGAGGACGACAATGACAACAGCGACCGCGACGATAGCAGCTTTTGACACAACATGCAAATGTCGTCGACTGTTTGAAGCAAATGCTGCTTGATGCATGCAGCAAATAAGCACTGAGAGCAACAGTTTGTGCGTATCGAGCGGCAAACTAAAATAAGTAAATAAAAATTTATTTTATTACAGCTAAGCAAATAAAATTTAAGAAATGAGTTCAGATACATGTAATTTAGCAATGCAGTTAGTTGTGTGAGATACTTTTAGATTGTTATCTGGATGAATTATGAGCACATTAAAAGGATGCGCTGCTAGTTGTGGAGCAAATTTTCCAGAGTGTTAAACAGTTGACAAGGAAAGAATTAAAGGTGGAAATGGTTAACAATATTTGCAATTAAACAAATTAAGATTATTGGCATGAAATTATGTGTGGAGACATCATCCGAGTGACAAAGTGCTGCCATGACACGCCTCAGATGTGTGCGCTTCCTCGATTTTAATTAATTTTTTTGCCGCAATTCTGCGTTACTGTTTGTATACAGTTATTATGATTGTCACATGAATACATTTGTACGTCTGTGGGCAAAATTTTTCTGCTGGCTGTGCAGCAATAACCTTTTAACTGTTGTGATTTACGCATATGTTTGGACATCCGCTACAGTTCCATTACAACCGGATTCATTGGCAAAATAATGTTTATATTACATCGACAATATGTACATTTTTTAATTTAATGATTTATTTGTGATAACGTTGACAGCCGAACAACTTCATCAAGTCCAACCGACAACCAGACGTAGACATAAAATTGAAATTTTATGGATTAAATTGGTTAAGATTTATTTCATTCGCGCAAAAAACTTGTAATTATTGCAATGGCAATATATCCGCAATATGGTTTGGTCAAAACTTGCCGAAAGTGTAATGAATACTTGGCACAAAATCAATATACTTGGCAAACAAATTATCAATAAAACAATAAAAATTGTTTACCGTAATTCAGTCATTGCGAACTACAAATTGAAAGTGTAATATTGATTCAATACATGAGGTTTTTAACTTCACTGCTTTCTGTTCTTAAATTAAGAAAATTATACGAAATTCAATATAAATGGATATATGTTTTAATTAGAAATATTGAACGACGTGTAACAAGTGGTAAAAAGACTTATATCTTTGATAAAATGTTATTAGCATCTTCTCTTAATAGTGACTGGAAGCCTATAGGTGATGCCAGTGAAAACCATTATTTTACACAACTTATCAGGTTGGTTTAGATTGAGGTGGCGGTCTTGTGCCTTAAGCCCACTTGAACACAAATAATGTGTAGTTGTGATAGTAATAGTTACAAACAATCGTTTAGGTTTGACGACAGTGTGATCTAACTGATGGTAAGCGCCTTCTTTTTTCTCATCACTAATTCAATTGAATTTTAGAGTGTGTTGGTACTGTTATTCCATTCCATACTCCATTACGAGCTTAGGGACTCAACAAAAGTTTTCCAACAGTTTCCATTTCGTGCTATTTGTCTTAATTCGTCTTAATTTTGGAGTGTGAAGGTAAGCGAAATAATTGCTTTAACAGTGGTACTAGTCTGCGGTTCATAGTTTAGTATGTGGTTAATGATAATAGGCTAAAGAAATACGACAAATATTTAGAAATTTATTTAGAAGGAATACAATATTTAAATACAATCCTTCTACACAACATTAAATCGCAAGCAGAGGGTATATAAACTCATTGACAAAACGTACGTTCACTCGAGATGCCTCAACATTTACAGTCAACCCCATAGAAATGATTCAGAGAAGATGCAGATTACTTTAGAATACTATACAATAGTCTAAATATCTGTTTAAGGAGCGATACTGCTCTTGTCTACAAGGAAAAACTACGATAAAGGTAATCATATTTCGAAATAATAACTTGGAATTTACACAGATGACTCCAATATGGAGCATTATGGTGTTATGCAGGCAAAAGTTGTTGCAATCTAGCAACAGTCAAGCCACCACAATATTTATAGGTGGTATTTTCATCACCATTAAGAATATATTGGAATATCGTACACCGTTCGATTCATATTTGATTTATTTATTAATCATACATGGGTTTCGGGTTGGGGGGACATTTTGGTCAACTTTAAGCAGCAAGAACTGTTCACAAATGGCTTAAATGTAGTTGTTGTCTACTTACAAAGGAAGTACCACTTCAGCCCTGGTCAAGGAAGCTATATGAATAGAATACTCTAAGTATTTTTAAGCTCATTGCAATAACAACTATTGTACATAAGATATAAACGCATATGAACAGATTATTTTAAAAATGGCACCAAGAAGTCTCATGAAAAATCACAGCTTTTTTTTAGTACATATTTTTGTTTTACATCAGAACGCAGGAATTAAATGGTCTTAGTCGCTTTTTATGGGATCATATATAATAGTTACTGTACTGTCTTAATAGCTTTTTATTGGATAATATATATACTGTATTAAGAGGACTTTTTTTGATACACAGGCAAGGCTGTAGAATATGTGCGGTTGGCTTTTAGCGAATGTTATCAAGGTTGTAGATTAAAAAATCAAAGTATAATACTTGTCTATACTCCTATCCTAGTTCGGTACCCGCCGGGAAGCTTCTTAATAGTATTGGTGCTTCTTATATATAAATAAAATAATGTATTAAAAGTTATATATTATATTCAAGTCATTATGACCGTTCCACTTGTGTACGACATTTTTTCTTAAAATCAATTAATGTACTCGAAAGTTGCTGCTATTCCATTTGTAAATTCAATTGGTGTTTACCATTTTCAATATTTGACAGATTCGGTTAAAATGAATAATAAATAAAAAAAAAAGCCGTTATATAATTGCATACAGTCAGTGACAGCAGCAATTGCAGTTGTTGCGAAAGCTCAGCAACATATCCAGCAACAACTCATTAACCATATTTATTAACAGTAAAAATGCATTGCAACAAAAAAATGCAACTTTTTGTTTGAAATCGAATTTTTTATCCATAACAAAAATGCATTTGATATTAATTTATATGCTGCTCAGTATTGAAATAAACCGATTTTTCCCATTAACCCATTGGCATCATCAGTGGCACTTGATATTTGGCAGAACTAGAAAAAATAAACCAAGTAAAAAGGTTGCATAATTGCATGCTTTTTTGGTAAAAAAATAAATTTTTATTAAAAATTTTTCACATTAAGAATTATAAAACT